CTCGCCACGCTCGGCTGCGGGCGTTGCTGAGCCCCTGAAACTTCCCGCGGGCCTGGGGCTCGTGCCCGGCCGGCCCGGGGGGGAGGCGAGGAGGCGGATGGACTTCCCCCCGACCTGGCCCGGCCCTGCCCACCCTCCCGCCGGCCCGAGCCAGGGGTCTTCGCCGGCAGACCCCTGCACCAAGCCCGGGTGTCTATGCGGGCGGCTCCTGCACCAGCCCCGGGGAGCGTCTGCGCGGGCCGCCCCCGGCACCTGGCCCTGGGGTGTCTCCGCGGGCGGCTGCCGCACCCGCCCCGGAGGTGTATCCGGGGGCGGCCTCTGGCACTTGGCTCTGGCACCTGGCCCCAGGGTGTCTGCAAGGGCCGCACCTGGCACCTGGCCGGGAGTCTAGGAGGGCGGTCCCCGGCCCTGGTCCCCGGCGCGTCCGCACCGGCAGCCCTGCCCGGGCCCGCAGTACCTGCCGCGCAGAGGGGCGGCCCGGCCCACGCCCCACGCCCCAGCATCAGGGGCAGCTGTTCCTGCCCGCGTCCACACCATCGCCCGCTTCTCCTGCGCACGTCTTCGTTTAACTGAGGGGTGGGGAGAGCCGGTGCAGGCTCTGGTCTAAACGCTTTTTCCTGAATGGCCCCATTTTCTAATTGTGCTCAGGGTTCTCAGTCCAGCATTCCATTCTCAAATTCTTTGGGAGATAATTTTGCCAGATTTTCTGAATGGGATTAGCACAGGCTGTTCGCACATCGTTTCAGAGTTTGTCAACCGCTGCCCTGAAGGGTGCTTTTTTATTTGAGCTGCTTTCAGGCTGGTCTTCAGTGTATCCTTTAGCATTGTCGACCTTCATCTCGGTCTTGGTTGGGTGAGATTAAAAATTTCTGTTTTTAAGACCAGTGAAGAAGCATATGTATTTAATATTGGGGTCATTTGCCACAAGTGGATCACATGAGGTTGGCTCCTTAACCACTGAAGTGGCTTCCGTAGTGGGAGCTTTGTTGGCTTTAAAAGGGATTTCAGGTAGAGGAAATGTTAACTTGTCACCTTCAGCTCTTCCTGTGAGTCGAGGACTTTGGCAAGGCACCAGATACCACTTTGCACGCTGGCGAAAGTACGGTCTTCCTGCATTTCCTAAATCCTGTTTACTGCAAGAATCCTGTATTTACCTGATGGCTGTTTCTGCCCAGCGAACTCCTAGGTATCCTTAGGGATTCGTTCTTAATGGCTTGGAAGCCTATTTTGTTTTGAACTGTTGACTTTGGAGTTCAGGCACCATATTCCGCTGCGAGGCTCTGCTCTGCAGAGGAAGCGCTGTTGAGCACGTTTGGTTGCTGGCTCTTCTGGGAGCCTCTCCCCGGATGGTAATACTACTTTTCTGTCTTCTCTTCCCCGGCCCCGGTGACGCAGAGCAGCGTCTGACATGGGTGTTACATGAGGCACTCTCAGGGATGCACATGACCGTGCCCGTGGCTGGAGCTTCTCCCCTGGAGAACTAGGTAAAGATGGACGAGTCGGCCCTGCTGGACCTCCTGGAGTGCCCCGTGTGTCTGGAGCGGCTCGATGCTTCTGCCAAGGTCCTGCCGTGCCAGCACACGTTCTGCAAGCGGTGTCTGCTGGGGATCGTGGGTTCCCGGAACGAGCTCCGATGTCCCGAGTGCCGGACTCTGGTGGGTGCAGGCGTGGAGGAGCTTCCCAGCAACATCTTGCTGGTCAGACTTCTGGACGGCATCAAGCAGAGGCCTTGCAAGGCCGGCCCGGCGGCGGGCGGGGGTACCAACTGCGCAAACACGGCAAGGGCTCAGAGCAGCTCTGGGGCCAGTTGTGGCTCGAAAGATCTCCAGAGCTCCCAGGGTGGACCGCAGCCTCGGGTGCAAGCCTGGAGCCCCCCGGCGAGGGTGAGTAGCCCGCGGGGGCGTGTGGTGGGACCGGTGACCATGCTCATTCTTTACTCTTTAGCTTGGTGTTGTCTCAGTCAGCTGGTGGCTCAGGGAGCCACGCTGACTGGAACAGATAGGAAATTCTGCCTCAGGAAATTCTGTTTTCTTTTTGAAATGAGATCGGATATAAATAATCAGTTTTCTTGTTCTTAACATTCTCCTCAGATGGTTGGTCTCTGTTGCCTTTTAAGATAAATTTGGGGAAACGGTAGCAGTTATTCAGTGAATCTAAAACACTGCAGTTTTTTAAATGCACACTTTAAAATGGAAATCTGGCATGGTTTTACCTTTTTAATGGCGTCGGCAGAGTCATAACTGTGTGCGTATGTGTCCATTTACATGTATCCGTGTTATAAGTACGTGTGTGGGTAAATCATGCATAGGAAATCAAGCTTTAATTTCTGTGTTGCTTGGAGCCCTTCTGTGGGTTTTATGAATGCACAGCCCAGAATTTTCTGGTTGGAGGAGCTCTTAACAAATCATGGCCACAGGTAGCAGAGTTTTGTTGCTGTAGCAACAAAATATCATTGAGCGCTGTGCGAAAACAGCAGAGAATCGGGCTTGCTTTATGTTGGGTTTCACAGGCGGTGAAATGAAACATTTCCATCACAAAGATTTCTCTTAGGTTTTGGCTTCGGACTGAAATAATTCTGAGTGAGGCTAAATATTTGAACAGTTACCCCAACTTAAATTTCTAGAAGGTAAGGTGTTGTGAATAAACCTAAATGATGTTGTGGGTGATGGCACCCCAGGAAGACATACTGTTCTAATTTTTGCAAAAAATAAAAGTAGTTATGGACATTAGGTGATGAAAAAGATCCCATTTTTGCTGGAAGAAACAACTTTGGCAATTGGCAAAACTGATTAAATACATTTTTAAAGAGCAGTTAATCTGGATGAGAAGATTTTTCTCAAGTATTTGTGGTGAACACTCAAAACTGATTTCTTTCCTGTGATACAGGAATAACCCACGGGGATGGCACTAAATGGTGTAAATTCACAGAGTACCAGGGAGCCAAGCAGGGTAACTGCCTTCTAGTCATTGCCTTGCTTCCTTTCCAAGCTCCTCTTTTACAAATAAGTGTTTGCGTCACCAGCTGTAAAGTATGTTAAGCACTTTAGTCCCTGGAAAACAGTTTTATCCCCAGGCTGTCAGTTGATTCATATCTTTTTTTTTCTTTTTTAAGATAGAGGGAACTTTTTGAGTTCCGGAGGTTTTCTTTGCACCTTGAAGCCCCACGCTGTGGAACTGGCCTGCCTCTAGGGCTTCTCTTGTGTTTCCTTTCTCGGGGGAGTTCACTTGGTTAGTCTGCATGGGCTCACCCTCAGAACCAGCGATCTTGAGCTGATCATTTCTGAGACGCCCGACCCCGGTCTGCTTCGCGTGATGACGGAGTAGGCTGACATCCTCGGAGGGGTCTTGTTTCCTTGGGAATTGGGCTGGACAAGTGTCGCTCCTGGCTGTGGGCAGCAGTGCCTTAGTTGTTGACACGTCGCCTTACCTGTCGTGAGGAATGCAGTGAGTGTTTGGTTTCTGAAGAAGAGGAATTTAAGAAGAGGGCGCAGGCATTCAGCTTAATGTCCTTTGAATTTTACCTTTTCTTTCTGACATGGAAATTCAGGTGTGGTGCTTGGAATGCTCCTTAATTTGAGCTGCTCATCGCCGATCGGAGCTTCACTTCCCTTGGGTGAATCGCTCTGAGGTCTTGGCGGCGTCTGTGCTGATTTCCTGGCTGATAGGATTTCCCTCATTTGCTTTATGTTTCCTCTTTAGCATAAAAAAGTGACTTGTCAGGAAGCTCACCTGAGCTTGAGCCTGATAACCTGGGTAAAGCACTGAGGCTGATGCAAAGGGAGCCAACGTCTGCTGGCTGGGGGGGGGGGTGGCGGGGAGAGTGGAGACAAACAGCACGCAGGCTGCTGGGTAGCGCTGCTGGGTAGCGTGGGCTGATGCAGATGCTGCGTGAGTATAAAAAGAACTTGTCCCCTCCCCGAGTCTAAGTAAAAGGACTTCTCATTAGCAGCTTCTGGTACCTTTTACTTTCAAATATTCGGAACAACCAGGGCTGCACAAACAGTCCAAGCACCTGAAAAATGAACGGATTTCAGAAAACATGCCTTTTAAGAGTGAGGTGTGTGGCGGTTGTAAGCTGGTCCCTGGGGCGTCCCCAGAGGAGAGTGACATCGTGGACCCCAGCCGTGCGGCCTGCTCCTTCAGCTGTTCCCGCCGACCGGGTGACCCACGTGCGAGCGCTGTCCCCGCATGTGGCGGGAAGCTGGTGCGGATCTTGGGGGTGCTGCTGCGGGCTCTGGGGGCATGTTCCGTCAGATCTTGGCCATGTGGCTTCCTCACGCGTGTTGCTGAGGGAAACTGGGTGTTATCAGCAGATAGGAACATTTCCAATGTGTGCACACGTCTTGTTCCCAGAATTTCAGTGTTTCCTGCCTCACAGGGATGAGGAAATGAAGAAGTCTTGGGTTGGCGTCACAATGGGAAGCTGTCCGTTCTTTGCTCCACATAAAGGATCCCTGCTGGTCCGGGGCCAGACTGAGCCGCGGGAGGAGGGGCAGGGAGCGAGGGGCAGGGAGCGGTGGCCGCATGCGGCCATGTCTGTGGGCTGAGAAGCGCCTGCAGAAGGCGGGTTTATATGCATGTGCAGAGTCACGCAGGGACGTGTGTGAGTGGTTCCTGCAGAGTCATGACCTGGCGGGATCATTAAGCGCCTGCTTTCTAGGTGTGGTTCTGTCATCCAGGATTTAGTGTGTGTGTGCACCCGGCTGTCTGCGGGGGGTGCTCTTCAGTCGTTCCACGCCGCTGCCGCCTTGGCGTGAGCACGCTCAGCAGGCACCGCTCAGGGATGGCTGGCGCAGCGCCTCGCGCCCGTGTGCTCTCCCATTGGCCAACGGCTGTCATCGAGCACTTCCTAGGGGCCCGGCGCGGCCCTGGCTGCCGGACGGATAGTGACGGGCAAACCAGCTGCAGATTCCGCTTGTGAACTTGTGTGTCAGCTGCATGGGGGACACGCCTGGATAACGCGGTGGCAGGGCCGGTGGGTCATTAAAGGTGCTAAGTGTCAGGGAAAGGGCTGGGGTGAGGACAAGGGAGGGCCCGGGTTGGCGTGTGCGTGCACGTGGTGGGAAGGAGGTCGGGCGGGTCTTCAGAAGCTTCTGGAAGCAGAGGTGTCTGAGCTGCAGTGGTGCTGATGTGTTGGGGGGCTGGGCGGGAAAGCAACAGAGTGTCCGAGGCCCTGACCTCCAGCAGGGCGGGTGGAGCCCCTGGACGGCAGTGAGGATGGGGAGTGACCGAGAGGAGGCCTCCCGTGCAGTGATGGGTCGCGCACCGGCAGCCACCCAGGACTTGTGGGGCACACTGGTCAGTGCTCTGCGTGTGGGGCCAGAGAGAAGGGGTCCTGGGATGGAGACGAGCATCAGGCCTCAGCACAGAAGTGGGCTGGACCTCGGCATCGCAGGACTGAGACCAGGGAAGGGCGGGGTTTTCTAGGAATGGGGACACAGGTGAAGTCGTTTATCCTGCAGGTGCTGGGTGTGCTTCCACTTCTCCACAGTCACGCCTCCATCCTGTCTGTCAGCGCTGACTTTGAGGGGCTGAGTGTGTCCCCCAGATCCGTGGTTGAAGTCCTGCCCCCAGGACCTCACTGGGTTTGGGGATAGTAGGACCTTCGAAAGGTGGTTCAGGTGAAATGAGCTCACGAGGGTGGGCCCAGATCCACCGTCTGACTGCCGTCCTTACAGGGAGAGGTGGGGACACAGACGCACAGAGAGGGACCACAAGAGCACAAGGGGAGAAGATGGCATCTGCCAGCCAGGGAGGGAGGCCTTGGGGGCACCAGCCCCGGCATACCTTGGGCTTGGTCTGCGGCCTTTTCTTAGGGTGGCCCCAGCAGCCGACTGCCCCCCGAGATGTGCTCCTGCAGGACGGGCCCTGGTGGCCTCGGTCCCCGAGGGGCTGGTGCCGCGGGCCTGCGGGAGTCAGGCTGAGTGACTTGAGACGTTGGGTCCGGCCCTCCCCGAGGCTCCTCACACAGGCATGGGGCCGTGTTGACACAACTGTGGGGCCTGAAGCGTCTATTCCGAGCTCTCCTGTGGGTGGAGCCCAGCGAGGGTCCTTCCCAGACTCAGTGGGGCCCAGGTGTCCCCCCAAGGGAAGGAGGAGGGGGTGTGCTGCGGGCGGGGTAGAGGTCTGCGTGGGGCCCCAGGGCCACCGTCCAGTTGAGCAGGTGCAGGTGGGGGCCATGCGGGGACTCGGCCCTCTCCAGCGCGGCAGTTGGGAGAATGGATGTTTGGGTCGGGGGGCAGCACACAGGAGCGGCCAGCAAGGCAGCTGATAGCAAAAAACAACCACAGGATGAGATCCAGGACGAGTCCCTGTGATGGGGCCGTGCCGCGTGGCCCCGGGTGGAGGTGTGGTTGGAGGGTGGAGGAGGGATGAGAGTTGCGGGCCCGTTCCACCGGAGATGGGCTTCCGGTCACCGCACAGGGCGGGACCACCCACCCGGGACCCAAGCAAGATGGGGGGGGTTGGGAGGAGGGGGCCGTTTTGCTGTTTCCAGCGGCAGAGTTAAAATAGAAGTCTGTTTATTGCCAAGCTCTGTGCTGCAGGCTTTGTTGGCCTCCTCTTCTTTCTTCATCATTTTGTCCTTGACCACTGCTCAGTCCTCGTGTCCACCCACCCCTGAGGTCACCTTGTTCCCGACTCAGGGCTGGGACGAGAGCTCACCCCCAGCACAACCCGGAGATGCTGAATGACTTTCTTATGTCACATGAGTGTCACATAACCAGTACCGTGTAAACCTCAAACAGCCTGCTGGGGTCGAGGACTGTTGTTACTTAAAAAATTAAAGAGAATGTAAATTTGAAGGTGAGTTCCTAAACATATTCTGGTTGTAAAAAAATTCAGCACTGTAGAAGCAGGAGGTGTGTCCGTCCACGTCTCTTCC